CTGGAAGTAGATGGACTAGCTGGAAGTAGATGAACTTCAAGGTCACTTCCCACCCAAACCATTCTATGATTCTGTGAAATCTTTTAAGTATTTCTGAATCCTGTACGAGAATTCTCTCCAGCGTGGAAGAAGCTTCCCTTTTACAGTTTCACAACATGCTAATTCTTTCTTCGACAGTGCCTAAAACACTCCTGCAATAAACTTCTTACTCCTGAGAAACATGTAGCTGCTGTTCTATCACACTGAGCAGCAAATCGCACCATTTCGTTATGCTCTCCCTTCCTGCTCTATCTGTACAGTGCCTGGTGCAGTGTGGACATGCCTAATTTCTAGGGCCGGGTTCTGCTGTAATGTAAGTAATCAGAATTAAACTACTAGTGGAAAAAAAAATAGGATCTTATGAAAGGTATGGCTATCCATTTTTTATCACTGCTTTTCCTGTGTCATAGGCTACTGCTGAAATGTGTATTTTTGCCTGTTTCAAATTGTATCATTAGTAGCTCCCACTGAGATACTGTAGTAGAGGAAGCCTACGTTCAATATCCAGACTAGGTAACTATGCATTGTGGAGAAGAAAAAATTAAGCATTGTTACTGGTTAACTGTGTGTGGTGTGTTGAGCCCGGCTGGGTCTCTGATGCCCACCAAAACTGCTCTATCACTCCCCTCCTCAGCTGGACAGGGGAGAGAAAATATATTGAAAGGCTCATAGGCCTAGACAAGGGCAGGGAGAGATCACTCACTAATTATTGTCACAGGCAAAACAGACTCAAAAGCTTCAGCATAGGGTGACCCCCACAGGGTCACAGCCTCCCTTGGGCTTCCACCTGCTCTAGTGTGGGACTCTCCATGGGCTGCAAGTGGATGTCTGCTCCACTGTAGACCTCCATGGGCTGCAGGGGGACAGCCTGACTCACCATGGTCTGCACCATGGGCTACAGGGGAATCTCAGCTCCGGTGCCAGGAGGACCTTCTTCCCCTCCTTCTTCACTGACCTTGGTGCTTCTTTCCACATATTCTTTCCACATATTCTTTCCACATATTCTTTCCACAGGGCTACTTCTTTCACATATTCTTCCTCCTATCTCTTCTGTTTCACAGTTCCCCCTCCCTCCTTAATTACATTATTCCCAGAGGCACTACCACCGTCGCTGATGGGCTCAGCCTTGGCCTTGGTCTGTCTTGGAGTTTCCTGGCATTGGCTCTGTCAGATACAGGGGAAGCTTCTAGCAGCTTCTCACAGAAGCCACCCTTATGTCCCCTCCAGCATCAAAATCTCACCACACAAACCCAATACACTGTGTCATATTTTTCATTACATATGAATGTTGCACTAGGTTTTGGAAATAAAAAACAAAAGGCAAAGATCACAGAAATTCCGGCTAAAGAGACCTGGGCTTGAAAATATGTACTATTGATGGTGAAGCATAAGAATAAAAAACCTCACATCTCCACTAGCATGTCAGTTGCCAAAAAACAAGTATTTTTTCAATTTACTGGAAGATACCCTTCTGCAGAAAAGGTGTTTGGATCATGTATCTGATTGAAACACTCTTCCTATGAAATTACACTGTGCCTATCTAACACAGATTAGTAATCAGGCATTGAAGTAATTTTGCTGTTTTCCTATCTGATGAACTAGACTGTAGATGCTGTGAATATATTGAACCAACAGGCTGTTTCCAGATTGTTTGGATTTCAGGGATATCTGTAAGCGAAAAGAGCCCTTTGTAGGATGAGCTTGTTTTGTTTAGAAAATTGTGTGACAGGAGTGAAGAATGACAAGTGCCACTCTTTGTAATCATGTGTGAGGCATTGGAGGTGACAAGCAGGGAAGACTGAAGGTTTGCATCTAGTGTGTTTGAAGTGGTGACTGATTTACAATATATATTAAGTATCACTGGGTTCTCCTCTATTTGAGATGGTAAGGTTTATATCGTCTGTATCAGTTACAAGTGTCAATAGAAATATGATATTATGGCCAGTTGAAATTGTATCTTGTTCTTGCAGAAATGGTCATCATACAAGGACATAGATTTCCCATGTTCATTTTTCATGGGTCAGGCTTCTAGTCAGGCCAAATTGACAAAAGAAAGTGAAGGTACAAATTGTCCAATATTTATGAAAGGGTATCAGACTCTGTTAGCATATTTCCACGTCAGCAAGGACGGTCTATCTAAGCCCCCTGAGAGTGTAAGTGAACGTGCTAGAACAGAGAAGCAAAGTCAGGGAGCAGATGCTCCTTGCAGTGTGCGTTTCCCATAGCAACCTGGCAGATTTCCCAGCAGGAATTTGCGTATGAGTTAGTCATGTTTTTGCATCACTTACTCTCTTCTATATTTTCAAGTATCCCCACAAAAGAGGAAATAGTAGAGACAAATGGGGAGCAGCAGAGCATAGATGATGGAGGTTGGTGGCACAACCCCTGGCTAAGCTGTATGAACAGAGCTGGTGAGAGGCCATGTCACCCTCCAAATGGCTGAACAGTGCTTACAGTTTGTACCTATGCCCAAAGGGGCACAAGTCCTTTCGAGAGAACTTGATCCAAAAAAACTTACTTAATACTATTGTATTCT